TTCCAGTGTGGCCCAGAGAGACACCAAAAGGTTGGACGCCCCTGGTAGACAGAGGCGGCCGGCCCTGTCAGCCTGGGGGACTCCCTGTGGGCGGAAAAGCAACCACCGAGCTTTGCAGGATGTCTGTGTGCAGCCTGACCCAGCTCCTCCTGGATTCTGTCTAGTTCACCTTTTGGGGGGCGGGGGGTGTCTCTGCAGCTCCTGACCTGCCCGGCCTGGCCCCGTGGCTCTCGGCTGCCTCTCCCCTCCCTGCTGTGTGGCTCCCCTGCTTCCTGGACCACCCACCCGCCCTTTCTGGGTGAGTGTCTTCTTTTTGCCGAGGCATTATCTCTGGTAGCTTCCCACCATGAGGAAGGATTCGAGGAAGGTAAATTTTCTGACATCTTGTGGGTTTAGAAATACAGTTGACCCTGAACAACACAAGGGTAGGAGTGCTGACCACCTGCGCAGTTGATATTTAAAAAAAAATTTTTAATCCTCACCCAAGGACATGCTTAACGATTTTAGAAAGGGCGGAAGGAGTGGGAAGAGAGACAGGGAGAGAACCATCGATGTGAGACACGCCAATCCACTGCCTCTTGCACGTGCCCTGAACGGGACAGAACTGCAACCTAGGCATGCGCTCTGCCCGCAAATCGAACCCAGGACCCTTCAATTTATGGGACGATGCTCCAAACCACACTGGCCAGGGCTGATTAACACATATTTTGTATGTTATAAGTATTATGTACTATATTCTTACAATAAAGCAAGCTAGAGAAAGAACATGTTATTAAGAAAATCGTAAGGAAGCCCTGGAGGGTGCGGCTCAGTGGATTGAATGCCAGCCTGTGAACCAAAGGGTCGCCGATTCGATTCCCAGTCAGGGCACATGCCCGGGTTGTGGGCCAGGGCCCCAGTGGGGGGCGTGCACGTGAGGCAGCTGATCTGTGCAGTCCCGGCCTGTGTTGTTCAAGACTCACTGGAACTTGGCTTCTACTTTGGCTGGCTGAAAACTGAAGAGTTATCTTCCTGTGGGTTTCCCACAGCTTTGCTCTTTGCCTTCCCACTTCTGCCCCCGGCTGTAGAGAAGCCCACAAGCCCTCCTGACTCCTGCCTCTCTCTGCGTGACCTGCTTCTAATGCCAGGACACTCTGTGCCCATTATTCTGAACTTCAACACCCATGTGCCTTGGGGTGGGGCGATTTTTCCCATTTGTGCTGAGCTCTCTCTGTGGCCCTTCTAACACATGTTCCTCAGTTGGGGAGACTTTTCTTGAATTCATTCATTCATGATCACCGCCCCCTGCTCCCCGCCATGTTTTACCGACCACTCCTTTGGACGTTCTGTTCTCTGATCAGTGGCCTTTCTGACGGTTCTCTAAGTTTTATTTTTTCTCCCCTATTTCCCATTTTGGGGCTTTCGTTGTTGTTCTGCTTTCACAGAGGTGTCCTTGACTTTATCTTCCAGTCCCTCACTTCAGGGCTTTAATTTTTTTTTTCAGGGTATAAAAATGTGTTTGCTACCTTCCTTTAAATTTCCAACAATGCTATTTGTTTGTTCTTTGAGTTTCTCCATATAATGTCCTGTCTTCGTGGGTTGCCTTATCTTCTTCAATGTCTTCCATCACATTATTGATATCACTATGTCAATGTGTGTTTCTCCGCCCTTCAACAACCTATTGGGGCTTTAGGTTTCATGCCAGGTCAGCTGTGGCTGCCTGTGACAGACAGATTAGAAGCCCTGTCCACATGCCAGGAGCTCGTTAACTGTGGCCTTCCCTCCCAGGGCGATCTGGCTGATTACTAGGGCGGCTGCCGGTATCAGAATGTTGGGGCATTCTCCCTGGCCTGGTCTGAGGGCTCAGGAAACATCCTTGCAGTCTCCTGGTGGTCTGCATTCTGAAATCCCAGAAAGGGTACTGGGGAGGGGGAAGTGTGGCCTCAGCATCTAATACCTACACACTCATCTAATCTCTCTCTTCCTCTTGGTGCCTCTGCCCTTAATTGTGTCTCCCAGCTCCAGATTCCTGACTCCCTTTTACCTTCTTTATTTCTTTATAGAGGGGAAGGGAGGGAGAAAAAGAGGGAGAGGAACATCCATGTGTGGTTGCCTCTTGTGCATCCCCTACTGGGACCTGGCCTACAACCCAGGCACATGCCCTTACTGGGAATCAAACTGGCGACCCTTTGATTCCAAGGCCGGGGCTCAATCCACTGAGCCAGACCAGCCAGGGCCAATTGTTCTTATTTTAGCCACCCATTTGCACTCACACGCAGAGTGACCTCGAGCCACCGTTCATGAACTTTCTAGAGATACGACAGAGTTTGGTTTTGGCTTTCCTTCCTGGCTACCATTGCAGGATTCCGCTTTCTCAGTTCTGCTAAGTATTTTAGCTTCGAAAATTGAAAATTGTGTCGCCGTTAGTCCCCCACCCCTGCCCATTTCTGCTTCACGACAAACAAAACTGACGGTTGTTTCCAAAGCAGTGGGAGGTGATACCAACTCTCCACTACCTTCCCCGGGAACCCCAGCCGCCTTTCCAGTCCTCCCTCCCCCCCCCCAGCAGAGGGGACTGCTCTGATCTTGCCTGCCCTGCTTTTGTTTATTCTGTTCCTTCCCGCTGACACTGGATCCCCACCCACCCTCATACGCGCACAAGCCACCTCTCTTAAAATTCTCCCTAGCCAGGAAACCAGGGGCCCGAAGATCTCATGGGAGTTTCTCTGGGAAAGAGCACTGCCGCTGGCAGGCACTGCCACACGGGTTTGGGGTCAGGGCTGCCAGACCGGAGGACACGAGACCTGTAGGGACTCCATGGCAGTCATCGGATGCTTGAGAAACAAGCCGAGGGGCTGACTTTTGCACCCAGAATGTCACAGAGCACGGCAGTGGGGGTGGGCCGTGTGTGTGATGCGGTCCCACCCTTGACCCAGGCTGGCCTCCCCTCTTCGCCTGGGGCAGGTGTCCTGCCCATTGCTAAGAAAAGTGCACACTCATACAGAAGGCCACCGGTGTGTGTGATGGTGGGGCTGTCCCAGCAGGGTCAAGTCATGGAGAGATCTGAGAGATGTGGTACCTCGAAGACGGGGCGGAATCCTGCTGCTGGCTGGAGAGGGACCTGGAGGGGCTGGGTGGCCGGCAGGTAAGTCAGCGTAGGCCCAGCTCCATCCACAACCAAGTGACGGACCATGACACATGGTGGGACTGGAAGGACATTCTGAATCATTATTCGGTCAGAGCACAAATCTCTTAAATGTCACCGACACAGTCTGCCTGGGAGGAGAACCATGACATCCTGCCAAGAAAAGACCATCTCAGCAGGACTTGACCCAGCGGGCCACGGAGCCTTCGCAGAAGGCACCGGCTTGTTCTGTGAGAGGGGATTTTCACGTTTTATGCGCTCCAGTGTCCACGCCAGTTTACAGTCCACCATAACACACAACCCAGAATGCCCCTCACAGTTTCTCCTTGGTTACCTGGAAAACAAGTTTTTGAATTTTTGGTGGTTTTTTTTTCTGCCCAGCCCCCAAATGGAGAAATGCCTGATTCTAATTTTTGCACAGGATGACTTCCCCCATCTATCCTTCTTTGGTCCACAGGGGGCGAGTGCCAGGGCAGACCCCTCCAGGGCCCCTTGAGGGCGGCTACCCTTAAAGGCAAATAAATATTCCAGGGCTGCAGACCCCGGCCTCAGCTCCCTGGGTCTGGGGCTGCGGGCGAGGATCCTGAAAGGGGCTTGCCTCGCTCAAGTCCGAGGCAGAAGGAAGTTATGCACCGGCCACTCCGGTGATGGCACAGGCTCAGAGGAGAATGGCGAGGAAGGAGGGGGTGGGGGAGAGTGCGGGCGCCGCCGAGAGGCGAGGGCGAGCTGGCCGGGCCGGGTGGGAAGACGGGAGCTGGGCGCCGCCGAGCATTTGCTTCGCGAGGTTCAACCGTGGGCGGGTGGGGCGCGGTGGGCGGGGTCGTCGCAGCTGGCAGCGTTCGAAGCCGCCGCGACTGCGGTGGGAGAGGGGCAGCCTAGAGAAGTTGGCAGCAGGCCTGGGGCGGGGAGGGGGAGGAAGGGGCCCCGCGTTCCCTGAACAGCGCGCCGGCCGCCCAGCACGTAGTCCACTCCTGCGGGCACGGAGCGGCGGTGGGCGCTACACCCACGCTGCCCGGTTAACCGCCAGTCCGGGGCCAGTCTGCCTCTCCGGCTGACCCAGGCTCAAGGGCGGTGCGGCCCTCACCGAGTGCCCGGCCGCCTGGGGCTAGGCCGGGAAGCTCCCGGAGCCTCCCGCGGGAGCGGCCCCTCCCCAGCCGTGACCCAGCTGCGGGCCGGCCCGGGACGCGCCGAGGGTCCGGAGCTCAGCTAGGGAACGGCGTGGAGGGGGAAGGGGGACGAGTGGCCTAAGTCTCCGGGCGCGGCCATCCAGGAGCCCGGCAGCGGTGGGTGCGGCGGCAGTCGTTCCGCCCCCAGGCGCGGTCGACAGCCCGGCACCCAGCCGGAGCGGACACGCCTCCTCGCGGTGCAAACCGCGCTCTGGAAGGGAGAGAGAAGCGGAGGCGAGCCCTGGGGAGGTGCATCCACCCTTGGCGCCCCTCGCGGGAGGGGCTGGAAGGACAAAGGAGCGCCCTCCCCAGCGCTCGCCTCCACACCGAGGTTCCTGGCTGTCACAGTACAAAAGGTCTGGCAGGAAAATACCCCGCGGGGTCCCCGCGGCGGGGGAGGGCAGGCAGGGGCCCCGCCCCGACCCACCGCCTTCGGGCGACGTGCGTCAGCGTGCCCGACTCGCAGTTTTAATTTCCGCCCCTCCTCCAGCCGGGCAAGGGGGTACGCCCATTGTCGTGCGTAGGCCCCGAGGCGGAGAAGGCTCCTCCTGCGGTCAGGATTGGTCCGGCCGCGGACTCAGGGACCAATGGGGCCAGCGACTGACCTTGGTTACGCCCCCTCGCCAGGCGCGCGCGCGCGGCCGCTCTATGTTGCGGGTGCGCGCTCTAGGATCCCCGCCCCCTCCGCGCGCGCAGCTCCCCGCTGCTGCAGCCGCCTGTAACCTGCGCCTCCAGGATGTGGCTGGGGGCTGACGTCGGGTCCAGATGTGGCCCCGGCCCCGCCCACCCCCGGGGCCGGTCCGCCCACACCGAGCCGCGGCGCGCACGGCGACTGTCCCGCCTGCCACAATGCGCGGCGAGGTTGCGGCCGCGACTTGGCGCGGTCGTCCCTAACGTCGCCGCTCCGCATCCTTAGGACAGGCCACCCCTGACGCTGTACCGGGACCCCACTGGTTTGCGCCACCACCCCATGCGCTCACTCTTCAGTGCCCCGCCGGGCGGGAGCCTCGTGGACGCGGAGCCGCGCGGGTGACGGCAGAGGCGGCTGCGCGCCCAGCCCAGCCCGCGGAGAGGGCACGCCGCGCCCCCACCCCCCCCCGCCCGCTCTCCGGAGACTGTGGGTGCGGATGCACCGCTGACGACTCGCAGCGACTAGCAGTGCCGCCGGCACGCCGGCCGGAGCCCGCAGCATGGCAGCCGCCGCCTATGTGGACCACTTCGCCGCCGAGTGCCTCGTGTCCATGTCGAGCCGCGCCGTAGTGCACGGGCCGAGGGAGGGGCCGGAGCCCGGACCCGAGGGCGCGGCCGCCGCTGTCGCCGCCACGCTGCCCCACGTCGAGGAGCGCCGCGACGGCAAGGACAGCGCCTCGCTCTTCGTGGTGGCGCGGATCCTGGCGGACCTAAACCAGCAAGCACCGGCGCCCGCCCCGGCGGAGCGCAGAGAGGGCGCCGCGGCCCGGAAGGCGAGGACCCCCTGCCGTCTGCCGCCCGCGTCTCCCCCGGTCCCGGAGCCTGCCTCCCCTGGCGGCGAAGGCGCGGCGGCCGCGCCCCTCAGCCCGGCGTGGAGCGAACCCGAGCCCGAGGCAGTGTTGGAGGCAGACAGGGAGCCGGGGCCCGCGGGGAGCGGCGAGCCCGGCCTCAGACAAAGGGGTCGGCGGGGCCGAAGTCGCTCCGACCTCGAGTCCCCACAGAGGAAGCACAAGTGCCACTACGCGGGCTGCGAGAAAGTTTACGGGAAATCCTCACACCTCAAGGCGCACCTGAGAACTCACACAGGTCAGTGGGGCGGCCCGGGCACCCCGAGCGCGCGGACTGGGGCCAGTGCCAGCCCCCGGGCCGTGGGCTGGGCTCTGGGGCGGTCGGGCGGGGAACGGTCGGGGCCTCGCCCCTTCCCCCGTCACTCGGTCCTGCGGTCGGCCCCGCGCTCGGCCCCGCGCTCAGTGCGAGGCGGGTCCCTGCACTGGGAGCCGGCACCCGCCAAGCGACCGCGCCCCCGCCGGGCACGCCCCCTCCCGGGGCGCTCTCAGGCGGGGCCGCGGGGGCGGATGTCGTCATCTGGGTTGGGGGCGGGGACCCCGCCCAGACCCGGGGACGGCGCGGGCAGGTGCGGGCGAGCTTGGTGGGGGCCGCGGGGGCCGATCGGGGAGATGGGCGGCCCTGGCACCCGGGAGCGGCGAGGCAGGGGGTGCCCGCGCCGTGGTCCCTCCCTCGCCGCCCCCGCGCGCTCTCGGGAGGGGCGGGGCCCGCAGGGCTAGGCGCGCGGCGGGCGAAGTTCACGTGGGGACAGCGCTCCCTCTAGCCACTCGGCACATTCTTCGCTCTCCTCTTCCTGTAATTTTTACAGCGCTCTAAGGTTTAATTTGTCGAAACTAGAGCTTGCGGCGGCGGACGCGGGGGGCGGTCCTGGTTCCCAGTCCGCGGCTCTTTGTGGGAGCCTCGCCTATCCGGCCAGCGTGGGCACGCCCGACCCAAGGGGCTCCTTGGTGGGGCCGCGCTTTCTCTAGAAAGGAGTGCCCTGCCCACTGCCCTCCGTCTGCGCAGCCGGCTTCCCGGCCCTGCACGCACCTGCCCGGGTCGGATGCGGGCGCCCGGCACCTGCACGGGGGCGGGAGGCAGAAGCCCGCGGCCTGGAGGCCGTGGACCGCCGCACGCCCTGCGACCCAGGGGCGTCGCTTCCCATCCCGCGGGCCCTGGACCTGCTAGTTGATCCGTCTGTGGTTGGTTGTTTCTTAAACACAAAAGTGGGAGGGGAAAAGACATTTTAATAAATGGCAACCTTCTACCCCCATTTGGTTTAAGAATCGTGTGACTCCTCTGAACTCACGCGAGCCCTCCGATGTCGCTTAACTCTTCCATATTTGGGGCAAGTTCAAAAATCCCTATACTTGTGATGTTCCCTTGTTATCAAAGGTTTAGTCTTCTCATTTGTGAAATAGTTCCCAAGATGACTAAAGAACTGCTTTTTAAAAATTGCAGCCTTCTCTCGGTTAAATTGGTACTGAGTGCATTCGAGCTCTGCGAGCGTCCAGGACTGCGGATCTCGGAAGAGTCTTCCCCTCAGAGGGCTGCCCCCGCGTCTGTGGACCCGACACCCCAAAGCGTGTGGCAGGCGGTGCGGGCCAGGGCGAAGGAGGCCATTTCTAGGCATTCTGAGTCAGAAGTCAGGGTGTCCGGACCCAGGCGGGGGCCGGGGTTCGTGGAAGGGTGTTGGTTCAGTTTGGGGACATCTTTGCGATGGTGGGTGTGGCCGTGAGGGAGGGACCCCACTAGGTAACGCGGCCCGGGGACCCCGAGCCCGGGGTGCCGGGTGAGCGCTTGGGGCGTGGCTGGGGCTGAGGACCGCTTTGCGGGGAGAGGCCCCTGCTGGGCCAAGGACTCGATGATGAGGAAATCTTTTTGCGCACAGTTTCTCTGTAGCCTCCCACCGGGCAGCACCAGGTCACAGGGTTCGAGAATTAGGGAGGGCCTGAGGGGCGGGGCTCACCGCCGTGGGCGGGGCCGGCTTGGCTGGGTCCTCTGGCGGAGTATGGCTTCAGAGTTGGCTGCCCCCAGCCCCCGCCGGGGTCTAGGCTTTGTTTGCCTAGAGGATTGGAACAGGGCGGCAGGAACCCGCACCTCCCCAAGTGGGCTGGGCGTCAGACTCTAGTCAGTCAGTCTCTTGCGGGGTGCCTGTAAACCCAAGATGGGCGGGAGAGGTTGGAACGGGCGCTGCAGGGAGCCGGCCCCACCCTTCAGGTGTGCAGACACTCCAGACCCCACCCTCAGAGCAGCTGCGGACCTCCAAGGCAGGAGCGCCCGGGTTCCAGGGGGGACCCTTGGCAATGCACTTTCCCAGGTCCCGGAGGCCTACCTTCAGCAGAGCACTGCTGTTTGGTGCCTCAGGTGAAACAATCTGAACCAAGGGGCTGCCTCCAGCCCAGGGCACCTGCAGAAGTGGAAGCCCGTTTTCAGGCCGAGCTCCGGAGTGGGACGCACTCCTAACTGGGGTTCAGAGGAGGCAGAAGCCAGAGGACAGGCCGGCTGGCTGCAGGGGGTGGCCGAGAGTCCAAGCTACCCAGGGAAGATAGGAGTAGCGGACCGTGACCCTGAGGTGGCCGTGGTTTGGCTTGTGGGCTGCCTGTAGGGTCCTGGGGGAGGGGAGGTCTCTGTAGGCAGTGGTTTAGGTCATGCCAGGCCCTTCCACTCCACTAGGGACCCCCCAGCCCCACAGCAATCTTATGACAGGGGATGAATTGCAAAACCACTTTCGCTAAGATTCCTGATAAAACAAAAACACAAATCACAAATGTCTTTGGAACTCAAGCAACTTTTTGTGTGGGTGATGCCGATGTCCCAGCCCAGGCCTGGGAAGTTTGCTAAGACTGGCTGTGGGGAGTAGCAAGACCAGGAGCAGATCTGCTTGGAGGCCGGAGGGCTCTGATGTGAAAATTCAGAGACTTGGGGAGAGAGAAAGGCTGGGACCCTAGGAGGGCAGACCCGGCCCCTGAGCTCCTCGGGTCCTGTATCTGGAGACCCCTGCTTGTGGTCTGGAGTGGTGGACCCCCAGCTGAATGGCCACTGAGCCCTTCTTGGCGGAGATGGCCCCTCTACATTTCTCCCTGTCCCTCCCCTCAAAGAGTTGTTATCAGGATGCCGCTGCACCTGTTTCCCCTCTGTTGCCAGGGGACCAAAACATATGTCTCCTTGCACGCTGCCCACCTCAGCAGCTCTGGGGGTCTAGCCAGAAAGGTGGGCACAGTGCCATGCACGACTCCCCCCAACCCCGCCGGCAGACTCCCAGAGATGGTCTTGGTCACCTGCCCCGTTTGGGGTGGGGGTGGGAAGCAGAGTAAGGTTGCATTCTCTCAGCCATTTCCTGTTAGAGTTTGGGTGGAGTTCGTCTGAAACTCATCTTTACCCACTGAGTGAGGGGTTCCATCGTGACAGAGGTGGCCGGGGCAGGATATTTAGCCCCCCCACCCCACAACACAAACCCGCAGGACCCCTTGCAGATGCTCCTGGTGCAGCAGCCTTGGAAAGGCAGTCCGTCAGAGTGCAGGGTGAGGGTGGGAGCTGTCTCAGGGCAGAGCCGGGCTGGCCAGGGGCCAGCACTGTGTCTGGGGCACATCCAGGCCGCCGGCTCCCGTCGCTCTCCCACACGGTCCCAGGCTGCCAGTGGCCCCGTGGTGAAACTCTTCAAACAATGCAGAAGCGTGTGGACGAAATGTGCAAGTCTTCCCCTCCCCTGGCCGGCCACTTCACCCCTTGTCCGCCTGACTCTTTTCAGACCTCCTAATGGGTTTGCTTGCATGGGTTTGCCTCCACGCAGGCATTTACAAAACACTTGTAGAGGTGGCTCAGTGGGTTAAAGCGTCATCCCGTACACTGAAAGGTTGCAGGTTTGATCCCCAGTCCGGGTGTGTATGGGAGGCAACCAATCAATACTTCTCTCCTTTCCTTCCTCTCTCTCTAAAAAGCAATGAAAAAATGGCCTCTGGTGAGGATTGAACAAAACAAATAAAACACTTGTATAGGACCCTAGCAAACACATTTCTGTCCCAGCCTTCTGTTTTGTGCGTTTGCTTAAGGAGGCATTGGTCCCTCTTTTTCCTGGCTGTATAGTGTTCCAACAGGCAGCTAGGGGGTTCTGCTGTAACTACACAGCCTCTCTGCTGTTGAAAGTACGACCATATTGCCTTTCTCTGTAAGCCTGGGCACAGTGGGCCCTGGTGTACCTCCCGGGGCAGGGCAGCTGTCATTTCTGTAGGACGGAGACCTGGTGGTGTTGACAGTAGTGTAGACAGCATTTAAAAAGACACATGAGCCCTGGCTGGTGTGGCTCAGTGGATTGAGCACCAGCCTGCAAACCAAAGGGTCGCTGGTTTGATTCCTAGTCAGGGCACATGCCTGGATTGTGGGCCAGGTTGCCAGTTGGGGGCACGTGAGAGGCAACCACACATTGATGGTTCCCTCTTTTTCACACTCCCTTCCCCTCAAATAAATAAATAAAATCTTCTTTTTAAAAAAGACTCGTGGCTTTTTAAAAAAGGAAATAGATGTTCTTTGTCTCTCCACTGCTGAGGCTTCTGCAGTGTTGCTGCCTCTCCCACTTTTTAAACTTCTCCTGGTTCTCATTGTCCCGAGTGAGAGCATCAGACAGCACCAGCGAAATGGCTCTCCACCCATTCCTCTCTCAGGCCTCAGGACCTGCTTTCCCGCCGGCTTTTCTTGGCTTCCCCTGGGCCCAGCCTGGGGGAGGGCTCCGCCCCTGCAGCAGTGCCCCGTGGGCCCCCCCATCCCACCCCTGCGCAGCTGGCACAGGGCGGGGCCTGGTGAGCCGCTCTCTGCACCCCTCCCCCTCTCCCTTGGCTGAAAGGGGGCTGGCGTGCAGGTGAGCAGTTCACTTCTTAACAGCCTGCATCACATATCAGGGGACTGTTAAGGTGTGTCCCGTTTGTGCTTTAAGAAGGCCGTGAAAGATCGTTTTTTAAATAAAAATTGGTAGAACGATAAACTCAGCCCTCTCAGTGGGATCCCATACCTGCGTACCGCCTGCTAGGGACCAGGCTTTGTTCTCTGGGCATAGTTTATATTAAGCCCTTCAGTCTCGCCCCCAGGGCCCTATAAAATAGGCACCCTTCTTATTCCTAGTTTTCTGATAAGGATGCTGAGGAGTCTCAGGTGGGTTAAGAAATATGCCCAAGGCCACACAGCAGATGAAGCAGGAACCGGGATTTGTGCCTGGGCAAAGCCACACTTCTGGGCTTGGGTGCGTCCACTGTGCCTTCCTGCCACAC